GCTATGAAAATGCAAGAGATTATGTGGGAATGTAGTGCGATCTGATGTGGACAATTCTGTGCCAGGGAATTAGGGCGCAAGCTTGCTTCAGTGGTACATCCCTTTTCCCAGTGACTCCGCCTCCAGACTCCGCCTCCAAAGTCGGCCTTCCAGCCAAAAGTAATGCTCCCGGGCAAGTATCATGGAGTGGATGCATTCAATGTCTCTTGTAGAGTCATAGGGTTCATTACTGGGAATCAGTCTGAGGGAATCTTCTCAGCGCTGGTCTCTCCAGTTTTTTACTTTTACAATGGTTTGAGACTAGAGGAAGCCGAACTAATGCTTTCCAACGCTCCTTTTAGCATTTCTCTTGGTCAATTTTTCCACATTTTCGCAACATCACCCAGGCTTTTCATCGCAGACCGGCGCCCTTTGATCTATCGCGGGAATGCTGAATCAGGTGCCAAAGTTGTGAGGTGCCCCCTACGGAGACACTCGCACCTCACGCTTTCCCGGGCGAGTGCGGCAGCAGGGCCGCATTTACTCGCATACTTAAACGGCTTCCAGACATTTAGAATAATTTTGTCTTTTCTCAAGCATGTGGCGTTACAATAAAGGAGAAAACTTGGGTTTCTTAGTTGTAAATACATTCGAGAAAGAAGTGAACATCCATTTCTATCTAACCAAGGAATTCGATCGTTGATGTACGGAAAGAAGCTGAAAACTCCCCGATGGAAGGAGTGCACATCTCAGACCATGCACAAGAACGGATTACGCTGCTAGTGCCATTTATGTCAGCAAAGTGTTCGACAAGGTAGTTCTTTGAAAATACTGCAAAATCTCGTTGAATTCATGTCATGCTGTAATATTGGTGTAGGCATCAAAGAACTCAACGTTGGATATGGCGAACGATATAAAAGAAGCGTTCCACGGAATGCTTGTCGAAGAAGACTGGATGGACAATGCTACAAAGAAGGTACTTTTTCCTAGAACAAAAACTCTCCCACTGAATGCAGTGGCCTGGTGTTCTGATCGCATGATCTGAAAAATTTAAAGGCATCTCCTGAAAAGCTCAAGAATTTAAAATTGTGGTTGTTATCGTCACGATTCGGGAACCGTTTTTTTTGTCAAATAGGAAACACGATCGACGAAGGGAAAAGAGAGTAATCGAAAAAATGCACTTCGGTTTCGATTCCCAGAGTCGTATGGTCGACATCACTGTGTATGTTACGGTCAGCAATGAGTGGTGGCGTTTTTGACGCTTTACTCCTCTTTTCGTTCCATTGACAGGTCATCTATCACAGACACTTTCGTTCGTTCAGTGAGCTAGGGTTAGTTAGGGTTGCTGTCATATGTAATTCACTAGGGGAACGAAAATGCGAACTATGCCATCAACTGAAGGGAAAGAAAAAGGTTTCTTAACGCAACTCAGCTGCTACTGCCAAAACCGCGAACTTTATTTTCATAAAAATTTTGTAAAAAGTATAAAAAGTGATAAAGGCTGATAAGAGCTGTTGGGAGACCTTGGAAGAAAGGGGTCTCGGAAGTTGCAGTTAGGGTTATGGTATCAGTGAGATGTTGGTTCCAGGGAGTGGTACATGGACCAGGACATGTACTGTTGGTCGGCGGCAGAAAATGATGATGGGAAGTTGGTGGCTTCAGAGAAAAGCCCCATAAAGAGCATATCCGAGTGGCAGCAGCAGTGTAGAATGATTTCATAAGTTTCCGTTGAGAAATCTTCGGCAGAGGGGTTCCGTTCCCAACGACGAGGGAGTGGTATTTCGTGAACTCTGTAGTCAACAGAGCTGTGACCTCGTGAGTGCAGTACAGATATTGGAAGCAGGCTCAGTGAAGTGACTATGTGAGTCAAAAACCTTATGGAACCTTAGCAAAAGTATTTGGTCGACCTATAAGTAGTGGCGTTTTTCTACTCAAATTATCGCTCTGAACATGAGACGTTTGCCGTTTCGGGTTTCACATTACCTGAATCAGCTGCCTTATAATATAAATCTTTCAGTTTTTCTGGAGAGCCCATTTGCACCAATATTTAAACGCTCAAACTGGATTATCAAGTCGACGAGAATGAGCATTTTCAACCGCCTCTTTTTTCACCTCTAATTGTGGAAGTAAAACAGGACAGGCTCAGTTGCTAGGTATATGATTAAGAGACTCTGCCTCTCAGAATCTCAAAATGTTCAACCAAATCGAAGAAATAAATTCAAACCGACCTCACAGACAAGCCATAGTGTCCTATTGAGTTCCACTGAGATCTTACTGAATTACCTTGTTCACGAATATTCTCACCAAGGGTAGTGAACAGATTGGGTCGTAAAATGCTTCTTCTCATCGTCAAGCATCACCCTCAGCTATATAAGATGTTCGACAGTTGGTGGAGGTTTTTTACGCACTCACTCCCTAAGAGGGCATCCCATGCGATGCCATTTACAGGGTCCGAAATCTCACCTCTGAATTAGCTTGAACCACCTTCAAGCTGTCATGAGAAGCATCTTCCCCTGAACATATATTTCACAAAATTAGGTCTTCTCCTGCAGTTCCAGATAAAGGAGCTGAGATAAAGTGTAAAAACCGAATGCCGAAAAGTGTTCCTTGTGTCGACCTGACACCCCATTTCGATGAATAAAAATCTGCACAAATAATGAATTGTAAGAACGCAACTTAACTGTCTCGTGGAGAGGAAAATTAACTACCGAACAGCATAGAACAAATGGAGACTAGCCCATATATACGATATAATATACCAGTCGGATCAGCCGGCCGATCCTCCTTCCGCGTGTGAAGTGGGTCCCGGTGAGAAGTTTTCCATGAGAGGGAGGGCCAGTCGGATCGGCCGGCTTCGCCGGCCGATCCTCCTTCCGGGTGTGAAGTGGGTCCCGGTGAGAAGTTTTCCATGAGAGGGAGGGCCAGTCGGATCGGCCGAATGGTCGAAAAAAATTGTTTTGAGAATTACCGCACTTTACCGTTTCACTTCTTGTATATACCCCCCCTAGAAGACAGTCGTCAAAATTTTCTATGCGGCACTCCCCTTAGTGATGAGGAATCGCAGTGCCGACGGTACCAACCATTTGGTACACTGTCTAGGGTTATCCCTCACTAACTTCATCTGCCAAACCATTCAGTCAGTTTCACCTTACTCCCCATTTTGTGGGGTTTTTCGTATGCGTTTTGAGGATTTTTGCCCTCGGCACCGTTCACTTCGGCGAACGCCCCGCCCGTCAGGGGTGTGCTTCACTGATTTCGTCCGCCAACAGATTGCCTATCATTTGCCACATTTTCCGTTCTCGGGGCTCTTTTGAAACCGAACTGTGAATTTTTGAAATTTTCGTAGCAAGCACCGCCCACTTATAGAACGCCCCGCCATTGATGGTCTGTATCACTCATTTTGTTCCGGCCAACGATTGCTATCATTTGCCACTTTTCCGCTCTTGGGGCTCTTTTGGAACCAAACTACGAATTTTTGAAATTTGTAGCTCACAACTGTGCGCACGCCCCGCCCACAGTGGGCGGAGCCTAGCTTATTCATGTGTGTTCCGTACATCTTGGCCCATGCCCTACCCAACCCACCCTTGACCCGCCCCCTCCAACGGGCTCTTCAGGTAATTCCGAATTTCGGGACAGACAGACAAACAGGACAGACAGACGTTGGCCCCGTTTTATACATAGTAGGATTACTCTCGGATGAGCTGAAATGAGTGTTCGTTAAAGCCGGCGGTATACGCTGCTGCGTTACCACCAATGCTTCCTTCCTACATCGATTACTGCTCGATCACCACTGGCAGGGCAAGGCAGGCGAACACGAGCTCATGCCGCGCTTCGGTTGACAATGTTTACAACTGATTGTGCTCAGCGAGGAATGAAGTACAATGTTTAGGGAGAGCTTGCTCTTCAGTATGCAGCTCCCTGAAATAAGCATGTCACTACGACCTCCTTTCTCATTGTACTAAAAAATAGAATCAATCCAAACTTCAAAAGAGCAGTTTCCCTAAGGTTATATTCCCTTCAGACAAAATTTTACAGACTGCAGTGTATCGACGTTAGTGTCTTCATCCTGGATCCTTAACAGGGTTTTTAGAATAGCGCAGGATGCCTTTTTTTTCCTCTGTATCCTTCCGTTACAACGAGCCGTTATTCTTTCTTCTGAGGGCTCTAGCTTTGAGATTACAGGCCACTCGCATCCTTCTCATAACATAGATACACGCAGCATAGTGTAACACATAATGAACTGCATGATCAGGCCGCCTTGTACTCGAGCGAAAATATGCGATGATCTGCCCCGATTTCAATTGGAGATATCTTTAACATTATGGAAATCGTCGAGGAAACCCACGAAGAAAAGCTTAATGTAAAGTGTAGGGGTACATTCCGATAAGAAAGTCACCACAGTTCTGCTCGCATACACTTAATTTCTCATTGGAAATTCGCGGAAGCAGCTAATATTGCTCGGAGACCTTTTAAGCATGCTGTTCCAGGCTGCTTCTGGGAAATTGCAAAAGATGTTGATGAAAGTCGCGTATCCAGAGTTCATCCTCAACAGCAGCAAACTGGACAGCTACTATGACAACGTTGGTCACTATGAGAAAGAAGCTTTTGGCTGGATACTTGAGAATCATAAGCAAAAAAGCAACATTCCATGTTTATGTTAGTTTCGAATTGGAGTTTGTGATTCGGTGCCGGATTTTTCTGATGCTGCACGTTTAACTTTCAGTTCTCAGTAAAAGAAACGGATTCATACAGTCAGATGGTTGGGAAACTGTCACGATGGAAACTAGAACACGATTTGAAGCGCCTTTCTAGCCGTCGATCGAATGAGTTACGATTCATATGCTGACCCGAGTTTGTCAACGCTACGTACAATTCCAGGTGGAACTCGTGGGTAAGCGATACTGCAATGTTATTAATGCTAATGTACTTGGGCCGTTTCGAGAAGAGGCCATCTTCATGCTTTTCACATTTTCTAGACTTTCCTGGCTGCTTATCTTTTTGCTTGCATGCATTCTTCTCCCAACGGTACATGCTGAATAGATTAGCCTCTTGATGAAAAAACCAACAGGTAAGTACAGCCATAATTCTTACAAGTGATAGGACGCAAGGCGGAGAAGGCAAGTAGCTTGGAGGGCAGCCAGTTGTAGCGGGCTCAGAATATTTGTTGTAACGACTGTGACTGTACTTATATTTGTCAGCATCATTGACAGAACAAGGTCACTGGCTGTATTCCAGCATCGCGGCTGCGCTCCAGTGCACGCTTTGCACGCCCTATTTTTTTTGAGGGTTTATGACTGTACTTATATGTATCGGAGCCATATATACCAAATCTTTCAAAGCCAGACTCAACTCTTGGGTTAACCACAATTCACATTCTTTTGGAATGCAAAACCTCAATAAAAACGAAGAAGAAAAAAAAACCGGAAACTGGCATTCGAAAAAGTATCCGCACTGTTGCACTGCGACGTCGCGACATATACCATTTTCACTTCGAATTCACCACTTTTCAAACCAAATTCACCCCTTTAAAGTAATTCACCCCTTTCAAACCAAATTCACCATCACTTTCCAAATCAAATTAACCACACTTCAGGGCGGGCAACTCATCAACCAGACCACGCCAAACACCACTGCGAGCCCCGCTCCGACGGCCACGCCTACTTGTGAGCGCGGACATAGATATTCAAATCTTGTTCCATTACTCCTGCTTATGTGACTTTTCTTGTCTTTGCTGTCTCCCACGAACACTTCGACCGAAAACGACCGGGCATTGACAAATGGCCGACTCCGCCTATTCTCCAAAGGGTTTAGCAATCTATGCTCTGCCCCTTGACCGCGCCCACTTGCTTTTTGCGGAAGTTTGGCATTTTTTCCAAAATTTTTGCATCTTAGGGCTGCTGCGGGAAGCCCGCCTACAGTGAGAGGCTCCGCCCACTTTGGAGAAGTCTCTGCACTTCTCAAAAATACGGTCCAAATCGGCAGTATAGTCCCAGCTGGCATGCTAGGGCATTGCTGATCATTCGGAACGAACTTTGCCTGATTTTCTGGTTCCGATGACGAACGAGACCCAAGCACGAAAGCCAAGACCCCATACTGCCAATCTGCACCATTTTGAAGTGGGCGGAGCCTCTCACAGTAGACGGGATTTCACTAAGCAGCCCTAAAACGCACAAATTTTGAAAAAGCATGAAAATTCTGCAAGAATCAAGTGGGCGTGGTCAAGGAGGCGGAGCCTAGATTGCCAGAAACTTCGGAGAATGGGCGGAGTCGGCCATGTGTCAATGCCCAGTCGTTTTCAGTCAAAGTGTTTGTGGGAAACAGCAAAAGATAAGAAAAGTCACATAAGCAGAAGTTATGAAACAAGATTTGAAAATCTATGTCCGCGCTGACAAGTAGGCGTAGGCCGCCGGCCAGCGGGTGCTTGCAGTGGTGTTTGGCGTGGTCTGGTTGGTGAGTTGCCCGCCCTGATAAGTGTGGTTAATTTGATTTGGAAATTGATGGTGAATTTGGTTTAAAAGTGGTGAATTCAAAGTGAAAATAGTATATGTCGCGACGTCGCGACGCCGCAGTGCAACAGTGCGAATACTCTCTCAAATATCAGTTTTCCGTTTTTTTTCGGCTGAAAATTGGATTCAACCTTAGATATACAGTCGTGTGAAGTGAACAACATGTAGAGATTTCACAGAGCGCTCAACTACGGAGGACTTGGATTTACGATAGGGCACGAAATCACGCACGGATTTGATGACGAAGGTACTGGTGTCCGTTTCTTCTGCATCACGTTTTACTCTCGGATGCGTGCTTTTCCTTTTTCCATTTTCCAGTGGACGTTGCCATTTTTCCATCCATGATCGAACGTTGTGAGGACTTGCCTCACGTATTGGACATCCACCCGAAAGGATCACCCACTGCTCGCACGCGATAGAGTTAACTAGACAACTACAAGTAAACACAGCGTTGATTGAACACTAACAAGGGTGATCGTTCAGCGTGTGCCCAGCTTTTTCGAAACGGTTTATTGCACTTTGTAGGGCTTTGCCATGAAACCAATAATAAAAGTGGGCTTCGTTTTGGCTGAGCGGCCCCAGGAATGCCAAAAAAGGAGCGAAAAAGAAACCTATGGAAACTGATTGTTTTTGAGCCTCTACGAGCTGTAAACCGCTTGAAACTTTGACCAGTTGCTGAATGGAGGGACCCTATAAAGGTACTATCGGAATCGAAGAGAAAAGTAGTCGGGGTATGGGGTCTTACTTGTGGCACGTAATCAAGCGTGAACGGCTTCATGGAATGGTTTCTTCAACGATCGGAGGAATGTTCAGCAACAACGATCGGATTGGTAGTGATAGCGTGCAGGGACTTCTTCAAGCGGACAGTTGGTGTGGGGTTTATGGTGTGGATTCGACTCCCCTCGGCGTGCGAGTTTTTGCATTTTTTATGTTTTGCTATTTTCGCGTTCAAATATGTCTGCTTGCGGTGAGTATTGCGTTCGATTGAACTGTCCATTTATGGCGCCATTTTGGAATGGAACATCGATAATTAGTGCTATTCAATTATTACAGGTAATACATACCATTAAGCAGGACTGTAATTGAAGTTGATCTTTATAGGTCAGACCATGCCCGAATCATGAATATGGAACTTATTTGTAGCTACGGTGCCATTTATCGCTAATATGGAGTGACATGTTTCTCCCAATGAATGCGTTTGCTACACACAAGTAAGGGATGTGTAGCGCTACCCAGGCGCCAAATTACGTCGGCGCCGAAAATAAGTGTGAAAATCATGATCGGGGCCATCGATTACCCCTTAACAATCTTTCGGCCGAAAAAATTTTTTTCGACTTTTTTGGGTGTGTGCGTTGGGGTGCCCAACAGTCTTTCTATAGAAGTCTACAGTGCCTCGCCATAAGGACCCCTGTTTTATTCATATCCAAACATGAAAGTAACAAGCCGATGAAATTCATGCAAAGTGGAAGGAAAGGGAGGCATTCCACCAGGCATTCCACCATTGCTGTCCTGCTCGGCGGCCTGCTATGTCGTCGTCCCATCATCTTACGAAGATGGGATACACCGGTCACCACTGCCGAACAAATAGTCCACCAAAACCCAAAAAAATAAAAAAAAAATTTTCGTCAATAAGGGTAATCGATGGTCCTGATTACGATTTTGACACTTATTTTCGACGTCGACGCAATTTGGCGCCAGTATAGCGCTTAACGTCCCTCATATGGGGGTACATAGACGTACCTTTCGCTCCTTTTTTGGCGTTCCTGGGGCCGCTCAGCCAAAACGAAGCCCACTTTTATGGTTCATGGGCAAGGCCCTACAAAGTGCAATAAACCGTTTCGAAAAAGCGGGGCACGCCCTGAACGACCTTCCTGGTAAGTGTGCCAAAGTTTAAATGAGAAGCGTGCGGTCAAAACCGCTGTTTACCACAGAGTAGGGTCAAGATAAAGGTCGCTTTTCCTCTTTCCTGTACATCGAACTACCGGACCAACGTAGACTTCACCAACATAGGAGCATTCGAAACGGTTAGCGAATTAGATCTCACCCCCACCGTTCAATGTTCGGTATAGGTCACAAAAAGTGGTGTCTTCTTTGACCTTCGAACCCGAGTTGATTACTGGTGTTTTTCTGCACGTTTCCCATTGGCCCACTCAATGTTCTTCAACAGTTGATTGACCAGTATTTGTTCCGTTTTCTCCGAATTTGGAAGCGAATTCGAAGCGAGTGGACATTCGGCTGGTGGGTGCCGGCGATTATTCTCCAATAGGTGCCCAATGTTATTGGAAAAGTTCTCAGCGTTTCGAGTGTTTCACTAAACGATCATAACTTTCTTAATACTCATCGGATTTAATCCAAATAAGCACCATTCGAATCAGCACACTTTTGCCAATGTGAAGACAGTCGACAAATCCCACCAAAGAAAAAACTGGGTGGTCGAGAATCCACGAAATCCATGAAGGCTTTTTTGGATGAAGTATTTTCCAGCAAGGAAGTTCTGAAAATGTTTGAAAAGGTGATAGTCGGTTGGTGAAAGGTCTGGAGAATATGGTGGGTGAGGTAGAACTTCAACCCCCAATTCGTTCAATTTATGGATAGTGATTTGTGAAACGTTGTCATGCAAAAGAATCGGACCCTTTCTGTTGACAAGTGCTGGCTGCAGCTGACGCAATTTTCGGTACATTTCGTCGATTTTTCACAGTAGGGTTCTGCTGTGATGGTTTGGCCTGGTGATAAAAAGTTATAGTGGATCACACCAGCCGATGACCACCAAACCGTGACCAGAATCTTTTTTCGTGAGGGTTCGGCTTTGAAAATTACCTCGGTGGTTCGTCGGAATCCAACCACTGTCCGGAACGTCTCCTGTGCTATACGTCGGCCTCCAAACACCCCTTCAAATCCAGCTCGACAAATTAACCAGGTGTGGGGGCCCAATAGTGTAGGAGAAAGCACCGTGCGACAATGGTTCAACAAATTTCGTTCTGGAGATTTCAGCCTTGAAGTTGAACCTCATAGCGGTCGACCTAAAGCAATATCTGACGAGGATTTGAAAAAAGTCTTGGGGAAAAGGGGGTTTATCAAGCAATGGTGAAACGGCAATTATACCATCAGATAGCGCAAAAAATTCTCTTCAGGATGTACTACTGAGACGCAAGGGAGAATGAGTTTTTAATCAGCAATGAATGTACAAAAAATAGTAACACAAAACGCTGAGAACTTTCCGGACAACCTAATATATTCGAACGCTCTTCGAAACACTTTTTTAATATGTCGTACCTCTCAAAATTTGATGATATTGCGTGTACCGATATTTTCAGATTCCTCTGAGGAAGAGCACCTCTCAGCCTACATTTTTCATACTCATGGCCATCTTTTCCAATGTTCCTCAAAATTCGAAAAACAAGAATAATATAGTAGCCTCGTAGACCCTAAAGTTAGCCTTTGCATAGTTTGTCTGATATTCACTATACTAATGAGTGCTAGGTAAGCAATTTGACGCGTTGGGTAACCTTCGCGACTGGTGGGAACGCGAACACTACGCAAAAGTTCGGGGAACGAGTACAGTGTATGATCGATCAGTATGGGAGGATTGAGGTTCGTCAAATTTGTTGTCGCGATAGAACAGGGCATCTTTCGGATGTGGAATTTTTTCACAGGTGCCATGCACTGCTCTGAAGCTGAATGGTAAACTCACTCAAGGAGACAACATTGCTGACAATGGAGGATTGAAGCTAGCATTCAGAGTTAGTCCTGAGTAGCTTCCTAGTGAAACCAATCCTGCTGAAGCGTACTACTCATCTCTTTGAAAACCCTGGAGAGTTCACACACGGGATACCTGTACCCACTCCTAATGATAGCTTTTGGATTTACAAATTGACAGTATATTCTTATTTGACATTGTTGATGATGATTCCTCAAAACCCAGTGCTTATCACTTGCTAAGGCACCAGTTTTCGTGAAGTACGAAAAATTTAGCGGTCGAAAAGATTTCTACGGTGACAGTATTGAGTCTGAAGCTTCATTGAAGCAATCTTCTCAATTTTTCTCTCTTACTTGGGCTTTCTTTCAGCAAACCTCATCCCATATACTGTCAGCCGTGGTGACTGTGAACACTCACACTCGCGTTTATCAACAGAATGCTGAGTCTGCGGCAAAAGTCGGACCACGGGCGGGACTCGAACCCGCATCTTCTGCTTACCGGGCAAGTTGCGTTACCACTTACGCTACCGGGGCCACTTTTGACCTCTCAGCTCAATGGCTATTTGTGCCATTGCCTTCGAGCACTCACACGTTCAACGTGATGAGCCGGTTAGCCGATATCGGCAGTGAACCGCAAGGCTGAAGGCTTTTTACAAGTTTTAGACTGTTTTTGTTTGATAACTGCTGTTTTACGCCGCAGTGCGCGATACGAAAGTTATCACAAGAATGCTGAGTTGTGGGCAAAAGTCGGACCACGGGCGGGACTCGAACCCGCATCTTCTGCTTACCGGGCAGTTGCGTTACCACTTACGCTACCGGGGCCACTTTTGACCTCTCAGCTCAATGGCTATTTGTGCCATGAGAACTTATTTGTGTCGAAGCAAGAAAGGCAATGGCAACAAATTAATTTGTGCCATTGCCTTCTAAAGAAGGAAATGGCACAAATAGCCCATGTAGCTGAGCAGATAGAAAGTGGCCCGAGTAGGCTAGAGTCGGTAAACGCACTGCCCGGTAAGCAGAAGATGCGGGTTCGAGTCCCGCCGTGGTCCGACTTTTGCCCACAACTCAGCATTCTTGTGATAACTTTCGTATCGCGCACTGCGGCGTAAAACAGCAGTTATCAAACAAAAACAGTCTAAAACTCCATCGCCGTTGCTTAAACATTCGGCTAAATACCCCCCCCCAAAAAGGTCTCAATGTGACCCCTCCCCCTCAGCCTTGCTGATTGCTTACCAGCTCTTTAACTGTTAGAAGATAAACGATTCTTTGACAGCAAAATCGTTCACCTGCTATCATATAAGCACTTAAGTGCTGGTAGATTCATGCCACATAGGGGCACCAGCACAGAATTGTTTGTCTGCTACCATACAAGCACTTAATCCGGAAGATTGAACAAGACGCTACAAAAGAAACAAAGGGAGTAACGCCTGGCTAGCACTCGAATATTGACAGTTTGCCAGCCATCGGAAATCGAAATTAAACACGCTTTGTGCCGTGTTATTGGAGCAAGCTAGCTTGCGGTCCGAATTCAGTCCCCGGCCTAGCACTCCGGAAGTACCTTCAGCTTGATCAACTGTAATTTCAGTAGTGGAGCTTCTGCAAAGCGGAAAGTAGGGCTCTGAAGCACTACTGCGGCACTTTTTACCTGAGTTTGAGCGGTGACGAACTTCCCCGTTGAGACCCTGTATGACATTTCAGGGTCATCTATGATTCCTCACGCTTCAAACAGTTATGACGATCTTCATAGGAAACCATTTGTAGAACGAACTACCTTGATCCTGAACAACCCTGACATATTTCTCACTGGAATTCTATCTTTTGCCTAAGCCTACTATTCTTGCAAATACTCTGTCCTGACATCTTTCCCACCCCTCCTACGGTACCACTTCCAGTTCGTTTAGAGACTTTGACACGTCTCCAAAACACACATTACCGCTCAGCGCATCAGGAAGTATTTCATTTGCGCCTATCGGCATCACCTTTACAGTGGGGGTGCAAACGGCTTCCATGCAAAGGTTTCGGGAAGGTGTGACTTATAGATTGGGCTTCCTCCATGCAAGCGGTTGCGCTGTGGTCAGAAAGATCCGAACGTGTACCTTCATATGTTTGTTAACTTGTGCTGTGATTGGTAACTTCTTCCTTGTAATTTTTGAACATAATTGGCAATCCTACCTCCTCTTTCTGGCGCTTTTTTATTCCGATTATTAGATGGGAAACGGTGATTTTCAGAGAAGAGAAAGAAAGAGTCATATATGAAAAAACTAAAACAGCTTTCTACCTATGCATCGTTGTATGACAATTTTTCGTCATTCCATTAAGGCTTTCTCTTGATTTGCGAATATCAGGCATACAAGAAATTTCTGAGGAAACACGGAAGAGAGAAGCGGATCAGAGGACTGGAAAAGTATAACAACGAGCAAATGTTCTTCATTGGATACGCTACGGTAACTTCATAATGATAAGGTCTTGATTGGACGTCTCACAGTGTTCTACTTTTGTAGAGCTGGTGTGGTCATTCAACGCAAGATGCACTTATACACCAGGTTCTTACCGATGAACACTTCTCCAAATCGATACCGGTAAGCATTTTTGACTGCTGAACTACTCCGACCAATCAGGAAGTATCACTGGTTGAAGTGGCCATTTTCTATGAGTGTACACTGTTCACTGCCAAACGTGCACTTGCTTCTGCCGAGCGTGGTGGGAAACTTTTATTGGCCCAATGCTCCAACTTTCTTGTCTCCGTCAGAGGCCTGGGAATGATGCAACAAACCCATACTTGCAAACGACCCAACGAAGGCTACTTCGTACAGGGCTATCCTTAAGGCTATCCAACATGCGTAGGAGTAGGATTAGTAAAGAAAAAGAGTCTCACTTGAGTCACATTGTGTCGCATAGGTCAAGCCGCATTGGACACTAACGACAGGAATTCATCTGTAATTGACGAACACTCCATTTGGCTGTCCATTGGTTTCTTCGCGGAAATCCAAAATGATTTTAGCACTTTCCCAGGTGACACTCCCGATTCGTACTTTAATGTAGTACACTTCATCGAAGTCATTTCGTGTTTACAAAGCCACTTCAACGTCGCACCATCCCCCTACTCGCTGTTTCTTTACGCGCGTCTCTCATTCTTCCTGTTTTTCCTATGTACAAACTGTTACAAGCTCTGCATTCGCTGATAAAATACTCCAGTTTTTTTCACAATCTCCTGTTCCTTCCATCTGGCGGGGGGAATAGCGCAGTCTGGGGTGATGCACTGCCTGTCGTGCAGTCTGCTGAAACAAGTTGGTTGCTTGACGTTGCTGTCGGGAAGCCAACACCAAGATAGAATCTTCCTGTGCATTTCTTTCACAACTCCGAAGGTATTTCAGTGCTGATGTCATCGGAAATGAAAGCGAGGCATAAAGGCATTTCCCTCGAACGTGGCGCATATCGTGGACTTAAATTAGATGTTCAGCGATGTGCTCGTGCCGCGTAACCACCTCTCTTCAGCAATTTCGTAAACAGAGATTTGATTCTGGTCGTTCTTTGTCGGCTGTACACATCCTAGTTGCTGTCGCGACCATATTCCTGATGACTGCACGTTTCACTGCAGCAGGATGCGGTGACATCGCGTGAATCGAGACACTTTTACAGCCAGGTTCGCTTTCTCTATTTTTTGCTCTTACCACTTTACGTTACGTTAGCAATTTTCTCATGTGAGCCTGACGTACATAGATAACTGCTATGTATGTGTGGCTTGTGTCAGCACGTACACCAAGCAAGAAGAGGTCAGCTACGCGCATAGCCGAATCCCTAGCTGGTCTTCTCACCACGCATAGGTTGAGCAACACAACGAGACCGACTTTGACGAACACGTCGCACGTTGCGGAAGTTTGCATGGTTTACAAGCTTATCTACGGGTATTAAAAGTCAAATCCTTTCAATTTGTCTGAAATCCAGCACTTACGGACCAGAGGTGGGCAAGCTACAAATTTTCTTAGCCTGAACGAGAACCAGAGTGGGAGCCGCTAGCTTCTCATTCAGAGCCCTGAGAACATATAAGAATGTCACAAAGAGTACAGCTGCTCCCAGTCTCTACGACAAGTCCAAGAGGATTGTATCCGCACGTCTACTTAGTCATGGAATGTCATGAAACGTCCCAGCTGTTTGAGATTGATTCCTGAATTTCCTAATTTCCATAGGCTTGAATAGCATCACTTCACTTTGTTGAGTTATATCATTTCGCTTAAGTACTCAGTATACTGAGCAACGCTGTAGTGTTGATGTGTCGTTCGTCTTCTTTCTGCTTCTGATGAGTTCTCTTTTTAGGGTCTTTGTTTTTTTCTAATCTCTCACGTTTCGCTTTGTGCAGAGAAATATACAGAACATAACAATGAACAAGGAAACGAGCGTCTGTCGATAACAAATCAAGTTCTTTCGCTCGTATCAGAAACCTGCAACCTTTG